GCTCTCTTCCCGATTCGCCCCCGTGCCTCGTGTCGCCTCCTGAGCACTCCACCGCCCGCGGACCAGCGCCGGCCTGTCTCGAGACAACGAGGCCGTCTGCGCCGACACTGGCGCGCAGGCTGCCCGCGTAAGGTGGCGCGCGAGACGCCCCCGTCTCCAATGTGGCGTGCCGCGCTCGCGGCCGGGCGTACGCCACCGCGCAAGGTCGCCATGCCATGCTCGGGGGTCGCTAGAAGTACCCCTGGCGCAGGGTGCCCCCAGGACTTCCAAGGAGGCCCCCACGGCCTCCAGAGGACCCCTCACGAGGCCCAGGGGGCCCCAGGGGCTCCGAGGTTGAGCGAAAAGCTGGAGGTAGCCTGGGCCAGGGGCACCTCAAGCAACCCCTGGCATTTCGTGTAAGACCCGCTTTTGATCGTTGATCCTTTGGCGGGTTCTGGAAACCCTGAACCCAAAAAGGTCGTCATCTCTTGGGAGGCCGACCTTTGCTTCCGCCAGCTTCCGCCGGCCTTCCGCCAGCTTCCGCTGGCGGAGGTAGCCTCGTTTCGCTTCCGCCGCCTTCCGCCGACCTTCCGCCGCCTTCGGCCCAGGAAGAGATGGCAACTCCTTCGATCCTCGAAGGCAAGGCCCTTTTTGGAACGCCTCACTTGGCGTCCGCGGACTGAAACAGCTCCCTCGGTCTCGGCCTCCGCGGGGCCCAGCATCGGGCCCCCCCTGGGCCAGCAGGAGCGGGTCCCGGGGCGCGAGACTGGCCCCAGGGAAGGGGTCGGGACTTCCAGGGCGCGCACCGAAGAAACGGTATCGGCGAGTGTCTGGGGATGAGGAGGAGGAGGAAGAGGAGGAGGAGGAGGAGGAGGAGGAGGAGGACGAGGAGGAGGCTGGAGCAGGAGGAGGAGGAGGAGGAGGAGGAGGAGGAGGGGGAGGAGGAGGAGAAGGAATAGGAAGAGAAGGAGCACGAGGGGAGGATGAGAAGTCTGTCTGTCTGGCTGGCTGGCTGTCTGTCTGTCCGGCTGGCTGGCTGTCTGTCTGCCTGCCTGTTCTCGGGCGCCGCCAGCCCCTCTGGCCACCCGAGCAGGGCGAGGTGCAGCGCAAGGTCGGCATCGTCGGCAAGGGCGTTACCTTCGACTCGGGCGGGTACAACCTGAAGGAGGGGGCCGCGTGCAGGGGGCCGCGTGCTTCTCGGAGATCCATAACCTGTATTTTTCCCCAACGGGCGTTTTGTGCCACTGTCGGGCCCCGGGACCCTTACAGATCGATCCGGCTCGAAGAATGATGCAGAAAGATGCGCGCCAGGGAGGGAGGTCCAGCGCAGATCCAAGGAATCCGCGAGGACCGTCGAAAGTTGATGTTTATGTTGTTTTCCGTTCTTCGACTCATCCCGATCCCTGAGATTGACAAGCCCAGAGGCGATAATAATCTTAGGGATGCGCCTTCAGAATCTGCGAGAGTCCTCAAGACCAGCATCGAGATCAGGCGGTGCAAATCATAGGGACAGGGACATGTTTATGCCGTTTCTTTCTTCTGATGACCTCGAGGCGGGGGTTGATTCAGCCACGCGCAGAGGGGGGAGGGGGAGGGCTTCTTAGAAGCACCCTGCTTCTCAGCAGGCGCGGGCCCTACCTAGAGACTGAAGGCTGGCGCCCCCTAAGAAGCAGCCTCTTCCTAAGAAGTCCTCCCCGCTTCTTCACCCCCTTGTGCGCGCTGCCAATATCGAGTTCCCAGGCATCCGACGAGGTTTTTGTTGTTGTTGCTGCTGTGATTATTGTTGCTGCTTTTGTTGTTGTTGTTGTTGTTGTTGTTGTTGTTGTTGTTGTTGCTGTTGTTGTTGTTGTTGTTGTTGTTGTATTGTTGTTGTTGTTGTTGTTGTTGTTGTTGTTATATTGTTGTTGTTGTTGCTGCTGCTGTTGTTGTTATACTGTTGCTGTTGTTGCTCCTGTTGTTGCCGTTGTTGTTGATGTTGTTATATTGTTGTTGCTGCTGCTGTGGTTGTATGGTTGTTGCTGCTGTTGTTGTTGCTGTTTTTTTTTGTTTGTAAAGATATATGTATATATTTCGTTGTTGTTGCTGTTGATGTTGTTGTTATATGGTTGTTGTTGTATTGTTGTTGTTGTTGCTGCTGTTGTTGCTATATTGTTGTTGTAGTAGTAGTAGTAGTTGTTGTTATGTTGTTGTTGTTGTTGTTGTTGTTGCTGTTATTTTTGATTGTTGTTGTTGTTGCTGCTGCTGCTGTTTTTGCTGTTTTTGCTGTTGTTGTTGTTATTCTTGTTGTTGTGTTGTTGGTATGTTGTTGTAGTTGTTGTAGTTGTTGTAGTTGTTGTAGTTGTTGTTGTAGTTGTTATGTTGTTTGTGTGATTGTTGTTGTTGTTGCTGCTGCTCTTGTTGTTGCTATTGTTGTTGTTTTGATGTTGTTGTTATATTGTTGTAATTGTTGTAGTTGTTGGTATATGGTTGTTGTTGTTTTTATTGTTGTTGTTACTGCTGTGTGTGTATTGTTGTTGTTATATTATTGTAGTTGTTGTAGTTGTCGTTCTTAACTTGTTGCTAGTATTGCTATTTTTGTTGTTGTTGCTGCTGCTGTTGATGTTGTTAGTGTTGTTGTATGGTTGTTGTTCTATGGTTGTAGTTGTTGTTGTTATATTGTTGTTGTGTTTGTTGTTGTTGTATGGTTGTTGTTGTTATAGTGTTGTAGCTGTTGTAGTGGTTGTTGTTCTATGGTTGTTGCTGCTGCTGTTGTTGTTGCTGCTGCTGATGTTGTTATTATTGTTGTTGTTGTATTGTCGGTGTTTCTATATTGCTGTAATTGTTGTTGTAGTAGTTGTTGTTGTTGCTATATTGTTGTTGTTATTGTTGCTGGTGCTGTTGTTGTTATTATTGTTGTATTGATGTTGTTATATGGTTGTAGTTGTTGTAGTGTTTGTTGTTCTATTGTTGTAGTTGATGTTTTTATTATTGTTGTTGTTGCTTCTGCTGCTGCTGTTGTTGTTGTTGTTTTTTTTGTTGGTTTTGTTGTTGTATTGTTGGTGTTGTTATATTGCTGTCCTTGTTGTAATTATTGTTGTTCTATTGTTGTTGATGTTTATTGTTGTCGTGGTTGCTGCTGCTGTTGTTATTGTTGTTGCTGTATTGTTGTTGTTGTATTGTTGTAGTAGTTGTTGTTGTAGTAGTTGTTGTTCTTATATTGTGGTTGTTATTAGTGTTGTTGCTGTTGCTGCTGCTGTTGTTGTTGTTATTGCCGTTGTTGTGTTGTTGTTGTTGTTTTATTGTTGTAGTTGTTGTAGTTGTTGTTGTTGTTGTCGTTGTTGTTGTTGTTGTTGTTGTTAGTAGATTGTTGTTGTTCTTGTTGTTGTTGTGGCTGCTGCTGTTGTTGTAGTTGTTGTTTTGTTGTTGTTGTATTGTTGTTGTTGTTGGTGTTGTTATTGTTGTTGATGTTATCTTGTGGCAATTGCTGCAGTTGTAGTTGTAGTTGTAGTTGTAGATGTGGTTGTCGCTGTCGTTGTCGTTGTCGTTGTCGTTGTCGTTGTCGTTGTCGTTGTTGTTGTTGTTGTGGTTGTTGTTGTCGTCGTCGTTGCTGTTGTTGTTGTTGCTGTTGTTGTTGTTGTTGTTGTTGTTGTTGTTGTTGTTGTTGTTCAGCCTGCGGCCCCAGGGGCCCCTCCCCCTCCCCCCGGGGGCAGTTTTTCGTCCCAGATCCGTTGCCGGTGCTCCCGGGGCCTGAGCGGGCCCGGGGGGCCGGGATCAACCGACGCACGCCTGAGCGCTTCGAGAAGGCCGCGGCGCCCGACACATCCTCCAAGGCCGCCTCGGAGCTCAGAGATCTCAGAGATTTTTGGCGCAAGGCCGAGCGCATCTGAGAGTTATGTCGGGCGTGTCCCCCTACAGGGGGATTTTGGGCGGAAAACCAAAAATACCCCTAAAATACCCCCCCAAACCCCCAAACTATTCAAAAATAGTCAACAAATCGTCCCCAGACTATTTGATGACTATTTTTGGAAAATTCCCCCTGTAGAGGGACAGGCCCGACCTAATCCGAGAGCCAGCTCGCGGCCTGCAGCCGACGCTTTTTTTGCTGGGCCCGCCCCTGCATTTTGACGGTCCAGTGCTTGTGGGGTGTCGGCAGCGCGAGCTCGCGTCGAACTTCAGACTGCGTCTCGTCATTTTTCCGACGGCCCCGTCAGGCCAACTCGAGTCCCCTGAACCCGAGTCTTACGTCCTCCAGACGCTACAGCGAACGCTGTCCTAACTACCAGGATGGGCGTGTAGGGCCGCAGCGCTCAGTGCGTCTTGTCGTCGACGAAGCCTTTTGGATGGTGTGCCAATTTTCGAGTGTAGCTCTGAAGCCGCTTGTCGTCGACGAAGCCTTTTTGAAGATGATGGGTATTGTTGTGTTTGAGGATGGTGTGCCAATTTTCTAGGTGTAGCTCCGAAGCCGTGTGTCTGCAAGTATGTACACAAGTCGTCGCAACATCTTTTCCGTCGCTCGCAGGGTTCGAGGATCGGGGTTCGCTCTCTCTAGGTTTTTAATCGTGCCAATTTTCTAGTGTAGCTCTGAAGCCGTGTGTCAATCGCTCATTCATCACCGATGGGGGCCTGCTAGCACAGCCCGCCCACGAACGTGCGGACTCGCCATCGGGGGGCTGGTCGCCGATCTATCGGCGAGGTGTCGCCGATTCTGGCTCGATGATTCCTCCCCCCTCCCCGAGCTGGTCCCTACCCTGGCGTCCTCCCTCAGGGACGGGCGTCGACCTTTGGTTCCGGCTCGACGATTCCTCCCCCCTCCCCGAGCTGGTCCCTCCCCTGGCGTCCTCCCTCATGGACGGGCGTCGACCTGGGTTCCGGCTCGACGATTCCTCCCCCCTCCCCGAGCTGGTCCCTCCCCTGGCGTCCTCCCTCAGGGACGGGCGTCGACCGGGTGCCCCGCGGAGACCGCCTCGGTCGGCGGGGTGCCAGCAGACATCGGCTGCGGTTCCCACGCCCGTACTCGGGAGGGGAAAAAAACACACAGACACATTGAATCGTCGGTCACCCAGAAAATATGGGAAAGTATGGGAAGTGGGGGGGAAGACACAAACCTGGACAATGCGGGAAAATATGGGGAATCCTGTTATTTGTGTGTATTTTTTTTTGTGTCCCAGGACCCCTTCAAGTACCCGCGAGGTCCTCGGGCTTCGTCTTTTCAGCCGCAGCCGCAGCCGCAGCCCGAGCCCGGGCCGCAGCCCGAGCCGTGGTCCGAGGCGCAGCCGCAGCCGCAGCCCGAGCCGCAGTGCGAGCTCCCGAGGCGAGGCCCCTTGGAGATCTCCATACAGTGGGGGCCCATAGCATTAAGTCGGGCCTGTTCCTCTACAGGAGGAACATTCAAACATAGTCAACAGGGAACTTTTTTTGGAGTATTTTTGGACCACTTCGGAGTATTTTTTCGTCGAAAATCACCCTGTAGGGGGACACGCCCGACTTAACCATAGCAACAAACACCCTGCTTGACTCCAGGGTGCCCTGGGTTTTTCAAGTTTCGATGGCTTCGCTATGGAAGGCGGGACGTTCCCACACGAACAATCAATGGACGTCCTGGGGTCTCAGGGTTGGGTTTCTTGTGGAAGGCTTCTTGTGGACTGGCCTCCACTGTAGGCCTAAAAATCGAGTAGGGGATCGACTACAGAATTGATTTGCCCTAACATTGGAATTGTTGTCGGATCTGGATCAAATGCGCGGAACCTTCGTAGATCCGACGAGCATTCGACGTAGGTTCTGATAACTTCGACGAGCAAATCAATTTTTGGAGTAAATCTATTCTGCAGTCGACCCCCTAGTCGAAGAAAGGGTCCCCAACACGCTCCAAACCTTCGACCCCGAGGGCGTCCTCGTCTCTGTCCAGAGCCGGCCACGCCGCAGCAGGTCGCTCTCGGTCGGCATCGGCTCGATCGGCTGTGGCGTCGCTGCTGCGCCGCCGCGCCCTTCCTCGGCTGCGCTCGCTTTCGACGCGGTCTCGGCCGGTGTCGGTCTCGCCGTCGGTTCGGCTGGCTTCCCCCGTGGTGCAAAGATGGGGTCCTGAGGGATGGGGTCCTAAGGACGAGGTGCCTCGGACAATGTAAATCCGCGCGCGTGCCAGGGTTGGCGCGGCCGCAGAGATGCACCAGCCAGCGCCAAGCATGCATCGCAATCGCCACTGCATAGGTTTTGCAGACCAAGTTGCGGGTGGGTGGGTGGGATGTTTGCAAGAGCATGGGATGTGTCAATTCGTTTGATAACACCAATCCACTCTTAGATCCCTCCCTATCCTGAGGACCTCATCCCTCAGGACCCCACCCTTGAGCAACTGGTTGCCGCTTGCGCTGTCGCCGTGGGCGGCCTGCGACTGGCGGCGCACGCGAGGGTGCGGCGCGAGGGGGCCCGGGCCAGCCCTCCAAGACGCCCGGGGGGGGAGGCCTCTTCGAAAACCGCGGGGGCTTCTTCAGAAGCTGTCCTGGCCCCTCAGAAGCCTTCCTGGAGGCCTCTTCTCTGGGCTTCCTAGATGGGGTCGGAGTAGATGGGGTCGGAGGATCGATGCGGCGCACCCCGCCTCCTTGGACGCTGCAGCGGGTCCCGACGAGCCTTTTCTAGGCGTTTCCCGATGCGCGTGCCTGGAAGCTCTCCAGGAGGTTCTTCGGACTTTCTCGCCAGGTCCTCACAGAGCTCTTCGACAGGCCTCTCCACGCCCTTCGGGCGCCTTTAGGGGTCCACATGCGAACCCTACCCCTACCGCCCACGAGTTCTGAGGGGGAGGGTGGGGTTCGCATGTGGCCCCCTAGCCTTGCTATCCAGGCTTTGGACGCCACAGGTGGACGGCCCAGCGCCCCCGCGCCACCCGCGGGCGCGCCGCGGGCTGCTCACCGCGGACCTTCGCGCGTGAGCTGCCCCCGCAGGAGGCCGCGCGCGGGCTCGCCCTCTCGCTTCCGCCGTGCGGCGTGCCGTGCCGGCGGCCCGCGCGGCCACTCCGCGCAAGGTCGCCGTGCCATCTCGCGCAAGCCTCCTCCTCCTCCTCCTTCCTCTTCTCCTCCTTCTCTCCCCTCCTCCTCCCTCCTCCCCCTTTCTCTCCCTCCTCTCCTCCTTCCCTCCTCCTCCCCTCTGCCTCCTCCTCCTCCTTCATCCTCCTCCTCTCCTCCTTGGCCTCTCCTCCTCCTCCTCCTCCGCATCCTTCTCCTCATCCTCCTCCTCTCTGCACTCCTTCTGCTCCTCCTCCTCCTCCGCTCACTCCGCCCCGGCTTCCTCCTCTTCCTCCTCCTCCTTCTTCTGCTTCTCCTCCCCTTCTTATTCTCCTCCTCTGCCTTCCTCCTCCGCCTCCGCCCCCTACTCCTCTGCATTTCCTCCTCCTGATCCTCGGCCTCCCTCTTCTTTCCTCCTCTCCTACATACTACCCTCCTCCATCCTCTGCCTCATCCTCCTCCTCCTCACCTCAACGCCTCACGTGGCCGCCCCCGCCTCCTTCTTCTCCTACTCCTCATCCTCCTACTCTGCTCCTCCTCCTCCTTCTCCTCCGCTTCCACGCCCCCTTCTCCTCCTCTGCCTCCTCCTCCTGCTCCTCTGCTCCTCCCCTCCTCCTCCTCTCTCCTCAACCTCCTACGCCTCCTCTCCTCCTGCCTCCTCCTCCGCGCCTTCTTCCGGCCTCCGCCTCCGCCTCCGCCTCCTCTTTTCCTCCTTCTCCTCCTCTCAGCCTCCGCTCCGCTCCTCCTCCTCCTCCTCCTCCTCCGCCTCCTTCTCCTCCTCCTCCTCCTCCTCCTCCTCCTTCAATTCCTCCGCCTCCTCCTCCCACAGGCGGCCCGCGCAGTCACTTCGCGTACGGTCGCCATGCCATCTCGCGCAAGACCCGTTCTCTTGCGCAGCGCAGATTAGGGGAACGAGCAATGACATAAACATACAAACTCGGAGGTCCGCGCGGATTTTCTCGGATCGGCGCTGGACCCCTCTCCCTGGCGCGCGGAGCGCGCCAGATGCGGCGCTGGAGGCGCCGCCAGGGGGGTTCAGCGCGGATCCGATGAATCCGCGCGGACCTCAGAGTGTTCATGTTTATGTCATTCTTCGTTCCCCTACAGATGGACCCCCGATCCTCGGTCCTCGATCGCGCAAGGGCGTGCAGTGGGAAGGCCGCGTACGCTACCGCGCAAGGTCGCCGTGCCATCTCGCGCACGTCCCGTTCCCTTTCGTCGCTCGGTTGGGCCCTCGATCCTCGATTCTCGATCGCCGCGCATGGGCGTGGCGAGGGGAGGCGGGGGCGGGCTCGATGATCGAGATGATGAAGTTCGACATGGGCGGGGCGGCCGCAACGCTCGGCGCGGCGGCGACCGTGGCGCAGCTGAAACCCAAGGGCGTGGAGGTGACCCCTGGGGCCCTAGCCGTCGTCGTCGTCGTCGTCGTCGTCGTCGTCGTCGTCGTCGTCGTCGTCGTCGTCGTCGTCGTCGTCGTCGTCCTCCGTCGTCGTCGTCGTCCGTCGCCCGTCGTCGTCGTCGTCGTCGTCGTCGTCGTCGTCGTCGATGAAATGGGGTTGGTGGGTGCGAGGAGGTGGGGGGAGGAGGAAGACGGGGATTGGGAGGAGAAGGAGGAGGAGGAGGAGGAGGAGGAGGAGGAGGAGGAGAAGGAGGAGGAGGAGGAGGAGAAGGAGGAGGAGGCAGGAGGCAGGGGGAGGCGGAAGCTGGCGGAGATGGAGCGAGGAAGGGGCGCAGATGGCAGGACGGAGGTGGAGAGGGGCAGAGCACGCAGAACGAGGGCCGGACACAAGCGACGGGGGGGCTCGGCCAACGAAGGACGCGCCCGACGGGAGGGAGGAGTCGTCGGGGGACGGGAGCGGTGGCGATTGAGGAAGAGGATGCCATGGGGATGCCATGAGAAGTACACCGCCTACTACCACACGCAAAATCACAAGCCCCCCCAGGCCCCCAGGTGGCCGCCAAGAGGCGCCCGCGATGCCGCCGAGACACTTTCAAACATTCGCTCCCAACCTGGCCAGCGGAGGCCGCGCCGCAGATAGATGGCGACGCTGGTGCAGCTGCGGGGCTCGCGTGCGGTCCCTGTGGCTCGTGCTTGGGCGCGGGCGCGCTGCGGCGGCGGCTGCGGCGGCTGCTGCGCCGGCGGCTGTGCTGGCTGCGGCGGCTGCGGCGGCGGTTATGGCGGCTGCAGCGGCTGCGTCGGCTGTGTCGATTGCGGCGTTTCAGTTCCGCTGCCCGCTATTCGTCGCCTGATGTCGACACGCGTGCCTCCAGCGATCTTGGACTGCCGAAGCATCATTATTATTATTCTTCGCCCCAAAGGAGATCTGTAATTCTTAAGCATGCATTGCGCGAGGGAGACCCCAGGTGCGCCTCCTGCCTCCCTCTCCTCCTCCTCCTCGTCCTCCTCCTCCTCCTCTTCCTCCTCCTCCTACTCCTCCTCCTCCTCCTCCTCCTACTCCTCCTCCTCCTCCTCCTCCTCCTCCTCCTCCTCCTCCTTCTCCTCCTCCTCCTCCCCCCTAGCAACAAACCTTTCCCACCTGGTCCCAAGAGTCCTCAGATAACTGGGAGCGCGGGCCCCTGGTGCACTTCGTGCCCACCCAGGTCATGGGTGATTCTTTGCTAAAAAAACACCATCAACATTTTCAGGTTATTGGGTGCGTTATTGGGCCTCGGGGCCGTCAAAAGCGGATCCTGGGCGAAAAACTACCCCAGGGGAATGGGTCGGGGCCTCGTGTGCCGCGCACTGAAAAAATCCCTTGTGGTCGGATGTCTGGTTCCCGTTTCTATATGCGCCCCGTCACCGCCGCGTCCTGTCCCTCCTCCCCGATGCATGGCCCTTGCTTGCTGTCCTCCCTCCCTGCCTCCTCTGCCTTCGCGTCGTCGTCGTCGTCCTCCTCCTCCTCCTTGCTTCTCCTTTGGTTCCTCCTTCTTCCCCCCTTCTCCGTCCCCCCATGACGACGCCGTCTACGATGAGGCCGACGACGACGACGACGGCGACGACGACGAGGACGACGACGACGACGACGACACGAGGACGACGATCAACGTCGTCCGGGTGTTTCCAGAAGGTTTCCAGAGCGCCTCGGACGCAAATGAGGAGGTCCAGAAATGCCCCCAAAACGGACAGTCCATGTTTTCGAGTCCCGCAAGTCGATCGGCCGAACGTCGATCGGTCAGTCGATCGATCTGTTCGATCGACGACGAACACGCAGGTGCACTTCGTCGTCGCCGCCTGTGAGAACATGATCAGCGGTCCGCGGCTCGGCGGCCTTAGCCGCCTGCCACCACCCGTGCCACCGCCGCCGCCGCTGCCGCCGCCGCCGCCGCCGCCGCCGTCGTCGTCGTCGTCGTCGTCGTCGTCGTCGTCGTCGTCGTCGTCGTCGTCGTCGTCGTCGTCATCGTCGTCGTCGTCGGCGGCGGCGTCGTCGTAGTCGCTGTCTCCTTTGTTATCGTCGTCGTCGGCATCACCGCGCAGCCGCCGTCGTCGACGTTGTCGTCGTTGCCAGTGTCATTGTCGTCGTTGCCGCCATCGCCGCCGTCACCGTCGTCGTCGTCGTCGTCGTCGTCGTCGTCGTCGTCGTCGTCGTCGTTGTCGTCGTTATCGTGTCATCATCGTCGTCGTTACTGCCGCCGCCGTTGCCACTGTCGTCGTCGTCGTCGTCGTCGTCGTCGTCGGTCTCGTCGTCGTCGTCGTCGTCGTCCGCCTGCTCCTTCTCCCCCTCTTCCCCCTGTGGAGGTCGGGGGGGAAGCGGTCATGTCTTTTCCCCTCGTGCTCGCCTCCCTGGGGCCCCTCGCTTCGGGGTGTGTGGTGGCGGCGGAGGCGGGCAGAGCGGGGACGAGGGCCGCCTGCCATTCCTGCCCCGCTGCCGCCGCCGCTGCCGCTGCGGGCCCCAGCATCCGACGACGTTTTTTTTTTTTTTTTTTTTTTTTTTTTTTTTTTTTTTTTTTTTTTTTTTTTTTTTTTTTTTTTTTTTTTTTTTTTTTTTTTTTTTGTTTTTTTTGGTGTTGTGTGTTGTTGTTGTTGCTGTTGTTGTTGTTGTTGTTGTTGTTGTTCTTGTTGTTGTTGTTGTTGTTGTTACTGTTGTTGTTACTGTTGTTGTTGTTGTTGTTGTTGTTGTTGTTGTTGTTGTTGTTGTTACTGCTGTTGTTGTTGTTGTTGTTGTTGTTGTTGTTGTTGTTGTTGTTGTTGTTGTTGTTGTTGTTGTTGTTGTTGTTGTTGTTGTTGTTATTTTTTGTTATTATCTCCGATGGGCGGCTCCAGAGGCCCCGACCTCTTCACTTCACGGGCGAAGAACGGCATATAATCAACTTTTTCGCTGTCGGGGGCGCCTGTCCGAGGGCGGCTGGAAAGTTTATACCCCCCTTACAGTGGCACGTCAAGGTGTAAACTTTCCGGCCGCCCTGGGGCAGCGCCACCGGTGACGGAACAGTTTCTTTCTATACCGTTTTTCGCCCGCTACTTCACTCTAGGCCTCTTGGACGGGGTCGGGAGCAGATGGGGTCGGAGGATCGCGCCGCCTCGCCCATGCACCTGCGATGCGGCGCGAGGCGGAGCCCGGCTTTCTCCGCGCCGGCGTCGCCGATGCGTCGCCGACGTCGGCGATGCATCGCCGATGCATCGCCGATGCGTCGGCGATGCGGCGCGATCCTCCGACCCCATCTGCTCACGACCCCATCCGGGTGGCCTCTGCCCGCCTGCCGGCAGGCCTGCGCCCCGGCACCGCTGTGGATGGCCCCCGGGGCCCGCCGACGGGCCCCAGGGGGCCGACCTCGAGGGACAGCGCCCGGAGGGAACATACCGCAGAGTTGCCGAAGGCCGAGGTGCGCACCTGCCAGAGGCACCGCGCGCCGGCCACGCCCAGGGGGCTGGGGGAGGGTCGAGAGGATCGAGGATCGAGGATCGAAGGGGTGACGTGGTCGGCATGCTGTTGCTGGTCTGCTTGCCCGTTGGGGGCCGTCTGGGGGCCCCTGGGGGCCTCTGGGGACCGGGATCCGGGGCGAAGCAAACCCTGGCATTAGGTCGGGCTTGTCCCCCTGCAGGGGGATTCCCCCCCGAATGGGCAAAAATGGGGGAAAAAAATCGTCCCCAGACTATTTTTGTACTATTTTTGAATATTCCTCCTGAAGAGGGACAGGCACGACTTAAACCTAGCAGGGGGGAGAAGAAGGAGCAGCAGAATCAGGAGGAGGACCTTCGTCCTCGTCCTCCCGGCAACCCCCAAGACCTCTCCGAGGGGTGCGTCCTGCCGAGGATGCCGAGGCGGATCCCGCCGTCCTCACCGAGCGCGTTCCACTACTCGCACAGGTTACCTGCAGGAGGGGAAAAAACACACAGACACAATTAATCGTCGATTTCCTAGAAAATATGGGAAACTATGGGAAGTGGGGGGCAAGACAAAAACCCAGAAAATATAAGAAATTATGGGGAATATTTTTATTTGTGTGTATTTATTTGTGTGTCCTGGGGCCCTACTTCATACCTCCTCGCGAACGTCCGAAAAACGTTCGTTTGCCTCGATGGAACATATCGTGAAGCCACCGCGGCTGATCCAGGCCACCTGCGAGCAGTTGCTCTGCAAAAGCCGCGGAACGCGCGAGGGCGCCCAGAGGACGACCAGAGGGCGCCCAGAGAGCGACCCTCGAGCCGGAGGAGGCCTCCATGCCCTCGGCTCCCCTCCCCACCCGGGCGGGCCGAGGCGAGGAGGGCCTCCTGCGCCCCTGGGCGGTTCTGGGCCTCCCGGATGGGGTCGGCGCAGGTGGGGTCGGAGGATCGCGCCGCATCGCCGATGCATCGGCGATGGTGCTCGATATGGGTCGGGGGTGGACAGAACCCCCAACAGTGACACGTCGACGAGTGAATTGTCCGTTTTCGGTTCTCGAGAGGGCGCCGCGGCCGTCATTTTCCAGGTTTGCGCCCGCCAGGTTTGGGCCTCAGGTCGTCTTCGCTGGGCCACGTTTTACTGGGGGGGGGCTGTCCATCCCCGAATGGGGCCCGATCTTCCCACGCCAGCGTCGCCGATGCATCGCCGACGTCGCAGGTGCACGGCCAGTGCCATCGGCGACGCGGCGAGATCCTCCGGCCCCATCTGCTCGGACCCCGTCTGGGAGGCCTCCAGTCCTGCGCCCGGGTGGTAGCATCCCCGGCATGGGCGGCACCACCATCGGAGCGCGCGAGCGAGCGCGCGACCGAGCGAGCGACCGAGTGAGCGACCGAGAGGCACGGCGCGACCAGTGCGTTCTGCCCAGAGCTTCGGGGCGGACCCAGCCGTGGCTACGGAGGCGCCCCAGAGCCGACCAGAGAGAGAGAGAGCATTCAGGATGCGAGCCTGGACCTGAAACCTCGGATCTTGAGGAAGGGTTCGGGCTGGGGCTCCTTGCCCCTCGGCTTTGGAGGGCAAAGTCTACCTGCTCCTTGATCACCAGTGTCTTGGGCCTAGGCGGAATGCCGCTTGCAATTCTAGACGCTTCGCGTATCCCCACCAGCCCGTCCAGAAATGAGTCCCAGGGGAGTGGAGGTTATGAGGGAAGCGGGGGAGCATGCAGAAGAACAAAGGGCGGGGTGAGCCGCCATATGCCCCAAGAGGGGGAGGATGTAGGAGGAGCCGTCGTCGTCGGAGTAGGAGGAGGAAGATGAGGAGCAGGAGGAGGAGCAGGAGGAGGAGGGGGAGGAGGAGGAGGAGGAAGATAAGGAGGAGGAGATGGAGGACTGCGAGGACGAGGAGGACGAGAAGGAGGAAAAGGAGAAGGAGGAAAAGGAGAAGGAGGAGGAGGAGGAGGAGGAGGAGGGGGAGGGGGAGGAGGGAGGAGGAAGAAAAAGAGGAGGAGGAGGACAATGGCGAGCTTGGGGGCCTCTTGGGCCGTCTTTGGGGCCTCTTGGCGGTCCCGGGGGCCTCTTGCGTATCTCGGGGAGCCTCTTGTGGCCTCTTGGGGGTCTCTTGGGGGCCTCTTGAAGGCCTCTTGGGCGCTTCTTGGGGCCTCTTGGGGCCCTCTTGGGGCGCTCTTGGGGCGCTCTTGGGAGCCTTCGAGGCGCTCTTGGGGCCATCTTGGAGGAGATCTATCAAAGAAGGGGGGGTCCCCAATTAGCGCTGCTCCGCTAGAGTGCCTCGAGTCGCCTCTTGGGCCCCCCCAAGAGGCAAAAATCCTTCCAAAACCTATGTAAAATCAATGTTTTTTGTTTTCTCGCCTTTTCGCTCTTGGACCCGTCTTGGGAGCCTCTTGGGCCTCTTGGGGGTCTCTTGGGAGCCTTTTGGAGGCCTCTTGGGCGCCTCTTGGGGCCTCTTGGGGCGCTCTCGGGGCGCTCTTGGGGCGCTCTTGGGAGCCTTCGGGGCGCTCTTGGGGCCATCTTGCAGGAGATCGATCAGAGAAGAGGGGGTCCCCAATTACCGTTGCCCCTCTAGAGTGCCTCGAGTCGCCTCTTGGGCCCCCCAAGAGGCCAAAATCCTTCCAAAACCTAGGTAAAATCAATGTTTGTTGCTTTCTCGCCTTTTCGCTCTTGGAGCCGTCTTGGGTCATCTTGGACTCTCTTGTGGCCTCTTGGGGGTCTCTTGGCAACGTCTTGGAGGCTTCTTGGGGGCCTCTTGGGGTCTCTTGGGGCCCTCTTGAGGCGCTCTTGGGGCGCTCTTGGGAGCCTTCGGGGCGCTCTTTGGGCCATCGTGGAGGAGATCTATCAAAGAAGGGGGGGTTGCTTATTAGCCCCGCCCCTCCAGAGTGCCTCGAGTCGCCTCTTGGGCCCCCCCAAGATGCCAAAATCCTTCCAAAACCTAGGTAAAATCAATGTTTTGTGGTTTCTCGCCTGTTCGCTCTTGGAGCTGTCTTGGGCCATCTTGGACGCTCTGACACCTCGCGACCGGCCCCGTCCAGGTCAGTGGGGAGTGGTAAGGGGAGGGGTAAACCCCTCCCCGAAGGGGAAGAAGGGGGTTGGCAGAGGAAACTCCCTAGACCACCTACGCCCTAAAGGGCTGGTGGGATTTCTGACGACAAGCGCGTATAGACACATTGGGTGTCGCTGCTTACCTAGCTGCGTTGTCGGGGTGGATGCGTCTGCAGACAA